CAGGATCTGCATTTATCACTGCTGATATTGATGGAGTTGAAATGCATGATGTATTTATTTACGGCTATGTCTGAGCCGATAATGATTAAAATACCTCCTGTAAAGTGTTAGGATTCATAGCAAGCCATATTTCTCCCCCCTTAATGTTGTTATTGCATTGCAGATTATATGAGCCTTACCAGTTTCAGTAGCTCCTGGTGTAATTGAGACCTGTATTACAGCCCAGAGCCCTGGGACAGAGACTATCCCCCAGTTGCATGCTGTAGCTTTCTCAGAAATCTGTTTACAGGACACTCAGTACTTGCACAGTCTCACCCAAACCTCCCGCCATTCTGACATCTCCTCTCCATCCCCACCTCCACCTCTTTCCCATCACCAACCTGTCATATCAACCAAAACACTGTGCACCCTGTTCACCTTTCACTTCAAACTGTTCCTTTTTGACAGAAAACAGTTTAAATCAAGTCTTCACCCCTAAAGTTTGTACATGCAACATGCAGGCCTGTAGGGAAGCATCTCAGCCACTAACATGCATCATTGCTTGCAAGCCTCAGCTATTAAAGTCTGCTTTATTTTATTGAAGACCTTGGTAACAAAAAAGTATTACAATACAGGTTTCAAAACATATTCCTACAAAATTCTCAAACAGACAGACTTGAAAGGCTTTTGAGAGCTGAGAAACATGTATTTAGATTCTCTTCTTGGTACATTTAATGTGCTACAATATGGATTTAATTAATATAAAATGAAAAGCATATTCAGGTGCAAACATGTTTTTCCAATGTTATACTCACTATACCATTGTCAACTGCTAAATAATACCCAGAAAGTGTTACGCCCTGATGAGCTCCAGCACCGCCGTATTAGCTCCTCCAATTACCAATGTGCATTCCATACATGCTAGAGACTCATTCTCTAGACTCATCAACGAGATCAGGCTGGGCCTATCAGGCCAATTAGGGAACCTCGCATAGTATTTAAGCCCTGATGACCCATTCCTCAGGGCTCAGACATTGAGTCACTAACTGTGCTTTGAGGTCGTCTCCGTCTCCGTCGCCACTAATCATCTCTTCATCACCTCGGACCTCGGCCTCTGCTCTGTCTGCTTCAGCTACACAGCTGTTTCCTCAGTCTCAGCTCTGTTTGTCTTCTTCAGTGCTGTCAGTGCCGTCATCAAATAAATTATCTTGATTGCCGCATATCTTGGCTCATTGACTAATTTTCGCTGAGCCCATTTCAACACCTTGTTTGGCCTGGCATAACAGAAAGAAAAGAGAAAGTTATATTTTGATCTTAAATTCAAATTTCAGTAGTGCAACAATGACCAAGTCCCAGTACTCAAGTCTCACAGTAGCTGGATTCCAGTAGCATCAGCTGTTGGCTGGTTTATAAATCCTCTGATTCTCTGATCTCCTCATGTCCACCTCTTGGGGTGCAGGGAAGAAGGAGGGGGGGTGTTCACCTAGTTCTGTCATGTGTCCATTCCCACGACCCAGGAGCCCTGAACAGTGCAGTGTCTCAGATATATCAGGATAATTAGCCTGAAGCAACTATGCCAGTTTCATATCTCTTTGAGAAAGTCACCCAGATACAATACAACCCAGATGCCTAAATACAGTCACAGGCCTAAGAAACCAAACGGAGAACAAGCAGAATAAGAAAAGAAGGGCATGAAAGATTAATGGTGAAAATGTCTCAGCACAGCTGACTTTTAACCTGCTTCTCTGCTCTGGCACACAAATCTCTCAGTGCTGGAGAAGGTGAGTGTGTGTTTAAGCATTGTTTCACTGATTCTTGATGTGTGCGTGTGGGACAGACAGCTCTGAGTGACAGCAGGCGACACACCTGGGCGCAGGTTCACACAGACGCACCTGTCACCTGTGAAACAGACAGCTTGAACCATCAGCCTGGGACAGAGCTGACCTAGAGCCAGGTGACCCAGGGACCAGGACTGTGAACCCCGAACTCACTGTATGTTATGTAATTTACTCGAGTAGGGTAAACACCGACTCGCGGCGGTTTTAGCCTTTTAGTTACGTATTCTGTAATCAGCATGTTTTACCTATCACAGTCTGTCCTGTCAGTGGCTTTTCCTAATTTAAATTCTGTATTTGTTGTGTTCAGAAAATGGTGGGAAGTGTCTAAAATTTCTTTATCAAACAGAAACACGATTCACGGGCTCCATGGCTGCTGGACCATGGCAACTGGGGGAAAACACATTGACCAAGCTTATGTACAGAAATCCTGGGACGCAAACATGAGACTCGTTTACAGCATGTTGATCCTGTAGAGGAACGGGAGAGAAAGAGAAACAATATTCGCCTGTTCAGACATCTTCATGGTCGACACTGCATTGTTTTTATAGCGTTGTTAGTCAAACATTCATCTGATACCGAAAAGCTTTACTGTCTCAATGGATATAATAGTCTCTGGACAGACTCGGTCTTCACAATAGCAAACCATTGCTCTGTTAAAATAGACAAAGACTCTCTGCCTGAATTCCTGTATACAGTATTATCATGTCCCAGGTCTGGCAGCCAATTACCAGTCTGTACAGAGCTATTACCACAACAGGTTCTTCTTGACTGCTAACATATCAACTCTGACATCCTACATCATATATCTAGTCTAAAAGTTCCATTACTGGAGAAACTGTCTTTAAGCAACGTTACCAGAAAGAAACAGAAAGATACATCTGGTTTTGTGAGTAAGATATCTAGTACAGGAAAGTGCTTGTTCCACCAAGACCACAACCATCACAGAGTAAAATATTATGTTTTATTCTTCACATTCATTCCTAATCTGGATAGGACAGAGACAATCCACACTGCTCCACACACTCATCGTCCACCTCATGCTTTTCCTTATTGGCACCTATAACTTAAACAATGCTGCAACTCACAACTGGCAACCCACTGGAGCTAAGCAGTTGTGAGCCTGGTCAGCACCTGTATGGGAGACCTCCTGGGAAAAGGTTGGGGAAAGGTTGCTGCTGGAAGAGGTGTTAGTGGGGCCAACAGGGGGTGCTCACCCAGTGGTCCATGTGAGTCCTAATGCCCCAGTATAGTGATGGTGAGACTTAAAACCAAGGTCCTCTCTCTGTGGTCATTAAAAATCCCAGGGCATTTCTCAAAAAGAGTAGGGGTATAATCCAGGCGTCCTGGCCAAATTTCCCATTGGCCCTTACCAATCATGGCCTCCTAATAATCCCCATATAAGAACTGGCTTCATTACTCTGCTCTCCTCCCCACAATAATAATTGCTTATACTTATATAGCGCTTTTCTGGACACTCCACTCAAAGAGCTTTACAGGTAATGGGGACTCCCCTCCACCACCACCAATGTGCAGCCCCACCTGGATGATGCGACGGCAGCCATAGTGCACCAGAACGCTCACCACACTTCAGCTATCAGTGGGGAGGAGAGCAGGGTAATGAAGCCGATTCATAGAGGGGGATTGTTAGTAGGCCATGATTGATAAAGGCCGATGGGAAATTTGGCCAGGACTCCGGGGTACACCCCTACTCTTTTCGAGAAACGCCCTGGGATATTTAATGGCCACAGAGAGTCAGGACCTCGGTTTTACGTCTCATCCGAAGGATGGCGCCTGTTTACAGTATAGAGTCCCCGTTTCCATAGCTGGCCACTGTGTACATACATTTTCAGGCCGGATCAATGTACATGATTGATAAATCATGATTATTCAGATCACAATCTGTATTCTTCTTACTTTTTTTCCTAAACACATATTGATTCATATTTAATGTACTTTCATATATTACATTTCTCAAAACACAAGCGAGAAGATGGATTTACCCTGAAACAAAGCAAACAGTCCATTAAACACAAGATTGACTGGAATGTCCTCAAGATTATTGATGCATGCTTATCCTGTTGATCCATCCTCTGAGCATTTGGAAAAGAGAGGAAATGATTCTTGATTTTACAGCTCCATCATCTCGCCACCAGAGGGCACCACAATCTCCCTTTGCTACTCCAGCTGCACAGCAGATCCACAGACTAAGCAGATGTCTGTACCCGGTCTACATGTTTGTTGTGCCATGCTCTTGGTGTTTTGTTTTTCTCCCTGCATTCCTTACCTGGTTTTAGACTTTGGCTTTTTTCTTGACATTGTTATTGGTTTGTGTTCAATTGTTGTCTTCCTGGATTACTTTCCTGGTTCTGGACTTTTTGTTTCTAGGAGTCAGTTGCAGATTGTGTTATTCTCCTCATTTACATTTCTTTGATAGCTGGAACCTGGATGTGGTCCATTCCTTGAATATCTGAGCTGTTGGGCACCCTTTCTAGCAAATAGGAGAAAGATATGTTAAAGTCCCAAAATTAGCTCTTTTGGGCTGTTCCATGTCAGCACAATTGGAACTCATTCGCCACTGCCCACTGTAAAATCTCCAACCGTAGGCCTTTTCAAGACTCCAAGAGAGGCTGCTGAGCATGATTTCCCCACAACTCCGGCTGAATTAAGATTCTTTTTCACTGCTCACGTGTCAACACTTAGGTCCTGTACTTCCACCAAATTCACTCTGCCGGAAGAACTACAGAAACTACAGAGTGACACACTGATGTTCCTTCTGGGGCTACTGGGCTTTTTTGTTTGCTTTTTGGCCTAAATAATTTTCAAACTTTGAATAAACTCAATTTTCAGCCCCAAAAAACATATTCCCACATGGCATCGTTCTCTCAAAAGCTCAATAAATCTGAATCCACCATGTCAGTTACAATCAATTAATTAATTTGTCACCCATACCAACATTTAAAGATAAGTTTACAACATGATGTCCTCCTCGCAGGTCTTACTGACTGGGCAGGATGTGAAAATAAGACTGGACACTGAGTTTGCAGCTCCGGACTGATGCAGCAGAGGTGGTAAAACTGACTCCCACATCCAGGACTCCTGTATGGAGCTGATGTTCAGGAGGCACTGTCCCAGTGTTGCAGCATCATAGGAGCTTCTTCTCCATACAGACACCCAGAAAGTCATTCCTGTCAGGTCAGGGCACCAATACTGTCATGTCCTGCACTCGCCCTTGCCCTCGCAAAACCCATTACATTCCCAAACCCACTGTATCATGCTCTCATTCCTAACTGAACCCATCACATTCTCACAGGCACCAGATTCCACAGATTCTCACTGAACCAATTATCGAACCACGTTCCTCTCCTTTCAGTATTGAAAAGCCTCTTAGAGTTTTCTAGTGCGCGTTATTTTCTTGTTAGCTTTTGCGGTTTTTGGACTTAACTTTTCAGTTTTTCTCGGCCCTTTCTGGTTAACTGATCTCTAGCTTCGCCTATTGACGTTGCTTCTGGATTACAATTTTGGATTGTTTGCCTCTGCATCCCGCAAAGTTCACGGCTATGCACAGGATCCTTGGAGAACTACTTGCAAGATCCCTGACAGATACAGCAGGATGAGATTTATTGTTAATTGATCAGACAGTGTTTCACAGCTCTGGCTAACATTAGGACAGGGTCTATTCCAGCTGACACAGGGTCACAGAGCTTGTCACCACAAACCCAGGATAGAGGGGTTCAGAGAATGAGGTCTGGACTCTGTGCAGGAGGGTCACTGTGTCTCCAGAGATGCTATAAAATGACAGAGTTCCTGCCCTGTGATGCACATACACTCCTATTCTGGAGGAGGGAGGGTCAGTTACTGCGGTTCTCACATTGTTGTGCCAGAAAGAGCAACTTGAGCCCGAGCAGCACAAACTCCAGGACTGGTCATTGCACCCAAGAACACAGTCAAAGCCCCCTTTCCTGCCGATTCCTTTGTAGGTGACGCCTATAAAAGCCCCTGTCCCTCTCCACTCCACCTCCCAGTAACAGCGAGTCCCAAACAGCCCTTCTCTGCACAGCACTTGTCTCCAGCTGTCAAATCTCTCGGGGTGATCAGGATATTTCTGGCCCTTGTCACTCCAGGTCACCTTCCTGCTCCCATCA